AGGAAAAGCGACAGTTCGGTGAGTAAGGTGGTTGAGGCGGTACAGTCGTCTGTCTTCGGTCGGGTTGGTGTTCTTTTCCTTACATGGCTTAGGAAATTGAGGTTGCCATTCAAGGTAATAGTCCACGGTACAGACTCATTTTTATCAAATTATTAACATCCGGCTAAAACTTCGTAAATGGCGTCTTCATATCTTATCGTAACCTACAACTCTTTTATACATGAAAATTAGCAGAAATGGAGCGTTTTCTGAATAAATTAATTAATTTAACGACCGGCAATAAAACTCATGAACACCCACTTGCTTCCCGCTTGAATCATAAGATGATCTGATCACAAAATCGATAAAAACAGTGGCCTATAAAAAATATTGAGCCATTTTTTAAAATGAACTCCTTATTCTGACATGTTGGGTGTAGAATATTTGTTTATTTATTTATAATTGTTTGGGGCTGTTCAACCACCTGGGTGATTTCCGCCCTATATTACAATTTGATCAATTACTACACATAACATCACTACAGCTAGCAAATACAATTTAAAGTTTAGAATAGTTACAGATGAATATGATAGTATAATTGAATTAAAGTTATAAAAATTGAATGTTAAAGATTTAAAAGGAGATAAGTTAACAAAGACAATAAAAATAAGGTTAATGATTTTAAGAACAAAAGCTAAAAAATACATTTTTAAATAATAAAAATTAATGTTAATAGAAGCGAAGTTAAAGAGTACAGTTTAAATATTAAAAAGTACAAGAACCATTAAAATTAAATATTAAAGATTAGAAAAAGATAAGTTAACAGTTAACAAGGACATTTAAATAATTAAGGTTAATGATTTCAGGAATATAATCTAAAAATACGGTTTAAAAAATAAAATTAATATTAAAAGAAGAAAAGTTAAAAGTACAATTTAAATATTAAAAATTACAAGAAGAAAAATTGAAAAACCATTATAATTAAAAATTATGATTAAAATAAAAAAAATAACAGAAAAAAAATATTTACAATTTGAAGAGGAACCTACAAACTTAAAAACTTAACAGGTATATTTACAGATACAAGATGAGGTTAAATTTTGTGAAATATTTTGATTTCCTTAAGCAATAATATTATGTTTTTAATAACATTGGGGTCCTTTTGGAGTGATTCTTCAAGGGTATTTCTGAAAAGATGTTGATCCCTAGAGAGATTGGAATGCATAACATTCGGTTAGGATATGGTTCACTGTAAGAGGTACCCGCAGGAAATACATTGAGTAGAAGAGTATTTCCTCATTAAATACTCGTGGGTAAGCCTAGTATGTCCGATCCTTAGCCGGGTCAGTACCACTTCTTCCCTGCTGGACAGCATGATAATTGGAGTGACTCTCCAAACGTTGGGTGCAAAGGTCACGCCAATCGACGCAGTATTTTTATGTACTACCTTTTTTCTCGATTTTTTAGTCAAATTATCCTACGATTCATGTGGAGGATGGTCAAGCAAATGGATGATCATGATTGTTTTGGAACGTCGTGAAATAGCCTAGCTTTACTGACCTGGAGGTTGAAAACGCCTCATTTCCGAGAATTTTCGTAAATAAAAATGTTATAGGTTACGACAAGATGAAGCCATTCACGAAGTTATAGATGGGTGTTAATGATTTGATAAAAAGGGATCTGCATCACGGACTACAATGGCTAGATGAAGGATGAAGATCGAAAACGAGTGGTTTTGGAGACAGGCTGGTCTTCCTTTTCTAGAGCTTTTTGTATCTCCCGTTGACTCCTATACCTTCTATTTCTGGAATACAAGAGGTTGTTGATGAGAGCTTGGGTTAGATTTTTCGTACCTTCATACTTCTGATACATGACATGTATGTATTGAATATATTGGTGTATTAAGAGTAATTAGTGGCAAAAAGGTGACTTATTTCATACTAAAGTTTGACGAAATATATCGACTACATCCATATGCCGATGGAATACAAAATGGCCTTCAGGTTAATATAGATAGAAACCCCATATACAGGGTGTCTCAGTTCTTAATGACTAATCGCTGGGGATGATTCTAAACAAAATTTCCAACAAAAATGTTCAGTTGGTACATGGACCAATTTCGAACGGAAAAGGAGAGAAGACCACTTTTGTGTGGTCAGTTTTTTATTGAATAAGAATGGATTGCTCAAAGATTGTTCAAGATAATAAAATTCTAAGTAAACCATTGTAAAGTAGGCACATTTTTTATTTAGAAAATACAGTGATTAAATTTACAAAGGTCAATGATAAAAGGGACTTTCAGAAGGTCTAATAGGGCAGCTTTACAGATATGCAGTTCCTGTATGTGTACTGTGACAGCAGTAGTACAGATATCCTATTAGACCCGATATTCCCAATTATCATTGACGTTAGTTAATTTAATCATTGTTTTCTCAAAAAACATTTTGTCTATTTTACGATGGTGTATTTAGAATTTTATTATATTTAATGTTAACAATGATATTTAATCTCAATTTTTAATATTTAAAGTCATAATTGTGAATAAGATGTTAAAAAATCATAATAATATATTTATTAATGAAATAATTAAGATTTAAAAAAAATCAAATTCCTACATATCTGGACAAAATTTGATTTGGTATATATATGTATTTGCAACACAAATAGTTAAAGGTCTATTATGTTATTCATTGTGGGTTGATGATTGACTGTAATGAATAATAGAAGACAAGTTGGTCAGTCAAAAAAAAAAAAAAATAGTAAAAATTTATAATTATATTTAATTTTACTATTTTTTATTTTGACTGATCATCCCAACCATCTTTCTCTTCTATTATATTATTACTTTAAGCATAATTGTGTTAACAATTGCTTTGAGTCTGATTAAGGTATCACAAATTTTTTTGATCCCAATAAGGCTGCCACAAAAATTGTTAGCTGGACTTGGTTGGCTTGGCAAAAAAAATGATAGAATCACGTTCTTAGGAAGCTGATTTACTCTCTTTCTTTAAGATCTTTAGGATTTCTGAATGCTGATATTTCTTTGTATTACTCTAGGTAGGGGTGCCCCCTCCCCCAAGATCGATGCCACATGAACTTCCTCCCTCCTCCTAAGAAATTTTATTGCTTTCCTCTTCTTTCTTAATAACAGTGAAAGCTAAAGTAGAATTTTTAAAATCATATGTCATATACACCTACATTTTCAGTGATATGTTCTATGCTTTCCTTTTGTCCTCTGTTTTGAAACTTTTCATTTAAAAACATCATATCTCCGTAGAAATGTGCCTCCCCAAAAATTCAAAATATGACCCACAGCTGGCGCCATGAAACCCCCTCCTGAGCACCCCTGATTCTTAGTATGGTGTGGTCTATGTGCACATGTTAGAGCCTCTTTATGGATAAAAATGTGCAACAGTGTCAATTTAAGCATTACCTCCATGGTACTCCATACCTTCATGCTTATGGACTTGTTCTAATAGCTCCAGTCATGCAATCCTTTGAACCCTCTAAGTCCTTACTTGTACTATTCTCCTTGCTCTTTTCGCCCACTAGCTGATTGATGCATGGATTATTAGAAGTCGAAAAAGCATGGAGTAAAACCACAACAGAGTTCCACTGCAACAGAAAGGGAATCTGGAGGTTTCCTGGTAATTAAAGTCCGCATAGTTATAAATTTCACCAACAGTCATTACATCAAAGTCTATACTGTCGAAATTTGGATGGGAGATGTACATCAAATTCCAATTCAAGCCTAGATCCGCTGTGTTTAGTTGAAGCAGGGTCACCCTAGAAATAATGCTCTTCAACATGCATCAATGGTCCAAGTTGTAAAATCTGCTAAAGTTTTGAAGTAAGTCTCTCAATTAGTTGGTAATTTCTCAGCTACTTCCTTATTATTGAAAGAGATAATTCCCATGACATTTATTGAAGTAATTTATGAAATAAGGAATTGCTTGATAGATATTACTAGTTACTTGCTTTTACCGGACATATATATATATATATATATATATATATGTATATATAATATATATATATTAGCTGCTATATAAATTCCATTACCATCAAAATTATAAACCACCATAAAACAAACTTTTGTAAGTCTATAAAATAAAAAAATGAAATTGGAATATGTATTTATTTAGAAATGAATTATAGTTGACCATTTTGAAGATTAACTTGGATAATAAATAGTTAGAATTATGAGTCATATCTTTTACTATCCATATACTTTATTTTCATTGAAGGTACTTGGTTATTTGTTAATTTAATATTTTTATTAGGAACTGTTTTATTCATTTACAGTATTCATTACATCTGTTCTCTACACTTGATTTAATCACATTATTTTTAGTTATCAATTCTCTCTTTATAATATTGTTCTAATGTATTTGAATTGTTTTAATATTTGTAAGAATCATCTCATTTATTGTTACCACTAGTTGTATCCCTTATTATTAGCAACCTATTATAATTTATGTTTGATCCTTTATGAATTTATGATTTTTTAAATCATGTTTAATATTTATCTTTGTTATTTATTTACTTGTACTTTTGTACAACACTTACCTTACCTTATCTTTAATATTTATATTATATGATTAACTCAACTTATAGACAAATTAGTTGAGTCAAAAAGTAAGTTGAATAAATTAACTTTTGCATCATATATAATTAACTAAGAAATAATAGCTTGTAATTAAATCAATATAGGAATTATAAAGTTATTTCTCAAAGCACCAAAATTCGGAAAGTAAATCAAACATATTCTCAAGTTCTATAGATACAATCTATAAATATATTATGTAATAGATACATTCATAAAATAAATAGACCGTTTAATATGGAAAAATGATCAGTAGGTAAAAATATAAATAATAATCTAAATAAAATATCTAAAGACTTTATTTCTGTCTGAGATGAAGGAGAAAATATAGGAATTTACATAAAAATATTTATTTTTTTTTCCATTTAGAATACATTAATTTTTCATTTTTTTTTCTCATTTTTTTTTTTTTTTTACAAAATATTATCACATTATATGTAACCAAATTTATATATTTATATTTTTTTTTACAATAAACTTATGATATAGTTTTCGATTCAACATCTCATGCTCGCTTTACTGTAATCATTATAAAATATAAACATAACAACAATAAGTTAAATTTATGAAATATACACATTGAACAATATACACTTATTTACTCAATATACATAAATAACTATTGTTATATTACAATGTTAGGCCTCACTTCTGTAGCATACAAAATTGCCTTCTTCCTACAATTTTCATAAATTATGAAATAGCATACTCATTACACTAAGAAACTATAGTGTTACGGGTGCAAAACATTGGTACATGATTTTACTAATGTGATAACTAAGGACTAATTTAAAAATAACATTTAAGATGGGATTCATTCATCAAATGATATTTAAATTATAAAAATACATTTGAAATCATATAACTACTTTTAAAATATTAACGAAGATGATCAAAAAAAAATTTTTCATATACATATACACATGAGAATAAAATATTTTCATAATTATTTGGCACACATTTATAACTGAATATCCTTTATTCAGTTAAAAAAGCCTTCGTGATAATTTTCAGTTAATATTTTTCTTTAATTAAAAAAAAAATGTTTATAATTCACAAGTTAAAAACTTCAGAGATGTACATATAAAGCATAAAAGTAAACCAGATTAAAATTGCATAAAAAGCTAAGCAAAATTTATGGTTCATAATTGATTGTCAACTACCATCTAGTACATTTCGTATACAGCTAAACAAGCATTATTTCCAGGCAAGTAGCTTGTGGAAGAGACAATCAGTCTACTTCAACCTACAAATATAAAATTCTTAACCATTCTAACAAAGCTTTTGAATATATTCGGTAACTTTATTTATTTTTTTAAGAATTAACAAAACTATTTAAATGCTTCTTATAATGATATTAAGGATTATTTTCCACATTTTTCAGTGACTAAAAAATTAACAATTTTAAAGTACACTATCATAGCTCGAATATTTTGGAAGAACTACACCACTTATAATAGTTTAAGGACCGATTGTACAAAAAATATATGATTCATATTCATTAAAATTTGATTAGTGATAATCAACTTATTAAAATAGACAGGTACAACTATTTAGCTGACAGCAAAATAATTATGATGACAAATATCCTGCACTAAAACACCCGTAACAATAAACTAATCTATCTTACGAGTCAATGATTTCGACTCGATGAGATCAAAGACTGTACTTTCAGGGCCAGTCGTACTTGACAATAAAAAACAATTTTGTACTGAGAATTTGGTATTAAGCTGATTAATAATTATCATGTTAATTATAATGAAATAAAAATTATTAATATTTTGAAATCTATAGTTTATGCTAAACAATAAATTAGGTTGTTATTTTATAAAACTAAAATATTATATTTATAATAAATAAATAAAATAAATTTATTAATTGTTAAAAATTTATTTTCACTTTGCTATAACCTTTCACACATAAGTACTTCTCTACGAGAAGGCGCATGATAGTATACTTAACTCAGTCAAAAGTTAAAGAAAAACCTTAACTCTAAAGTTGCAAGTCAAGGAATTTTAGTAGGAAGATATAAAAATAACTATACTTACTCCTATTGTTGAACTACTAAATTCGATAAAAATATATTCATCCATGATCTTTTAACTTTATGATAACAAGATTGTAGAAATTTGAATATCATTCAACAGGGATAATTATAAATAATACAATACAAAAATAAAAATAAATACTTTCAACTAGCATCATCTGTCTACGAATCAAAAACTATTTTCATTTTGTACAACTGGCCCATGTATATTTAAAATATAAAAAACAATAAGTTGATAATTAAAAGACAAAATAATTCGAGAACAACTTTAATGAATTTATCCTCAAAGAATAAAAAATGGTTAACATCCATTTTATGAAGACAAATAATATTTTAAACACCTAAAACTCCTTCTATAACAAACAAGTTTTTTAAATCTCTTGTCAAGTTAAGAACTAAACCAAACAATATGCACCGATTCGACATATTTTCAACAGCATTGCTCAAAAATGATTTCAATGCTCATTTTTACACCCAATTTAGCACTGGAGACAATGCGAAAGGAAAACATTCAATTGAAAAAACAACAGTGAACAGTTGTTAATTCAAACAGGCAATGGGCTAGACTTGTGCAGTTGATTTCGGTCTGGATTTCCTACGGCGGCGAGCCAGCTCAGACATAACAACAGGACCCAGGTTGGGAGCTCTTGGGCCTACAGCCCTGTACGTCGCAGCGACTGTTCCCTTAACAACAGATACCTCTCCCGTGATGAGCCTTGATGTTGGCAGGCGGCTCCTGGCGCTTAGCCAAGGGTGCTGCAGGAGCACTGAAGATGTTGGCCTTCGACCAGGCTCTACGTGCAGCATTTTTCTCACCAGATCCTGCAAAAAATTTCAATTAGAATAATCACGGGATTATAAGTTATGTTTTATTGTAAAAGTATTAAAATAAAAACTTTAAAGGCAGGAAATGTATTCAGGATATTCCATTTTTGTCAGTTGTATATTTTACAAAAAATTAATAATTTAACCAATAGGAAGGATCAACTGTAAATTTTTCAGAATGAAACACATTTACCAACTTTTTCAACTATGACAAAGCTGTGTCAACTAAGAGACAACATACTGTGGCAACTAAAGACAATAGATGTTGCTATTTGGTCAGAACTATTTGTAATTATTGGTTAATTAACTTTAAACTAAACTTTTAATACAGTATCAATATCAAATTTTAATAATTTACATTGGTTTGTTACTACAATTATTTCTTAAAGTGACTTTATATATATATATATCAGTTTTTACTATAAATTAAAGACAGCATTTAAATAATAAAATAATATTGAATTAATAAATAATTCAGGACATTGTTCATAAAACTAAATAATTTTTTCAAATGTTTTAGTACTTAACATATTTGTCATTTCTTTTCATTTGTATATTACAGAAAATAATCGATTATTGTTTGTTTGTAGAGGCTTTAAGGCACAAAACTTCAAGGACCTTAACACCTATAAATTACTTTTGTTTACCTTTGACCTAAATTCAATTGAGTCTTGTTCTTTTAATTCTAAATGAATCAAATTCTAATTTTTGCCAAACAAAGATTAAGATCAACAATAAACAAAGATCTTTCAAAATTACTTAAAGATTAAAATTATGTTTCGAATAACTCACCTTTGCTTCAGCAGAAATATTAGTCCAGTTACCAGAATCTAAGTCTATTTTACTGTCTCCTATCCTTTGAAGAATATCTGTTGGTGTGTCAGTGGGACTGTTGGCGAAAGGTGTTCGTCTGTAAAAATATATCATTAATATAATAATTAAAATATGGCTATTTAACTTACATAAAAAAGAAATCTACTGCTTACCCAGCTAAAAGAGTGTAAAGCAGAATTCCGAGAGACCAGATATCACATGCTGCATCGTAGCCTTGACGTTTCAAAACTTCTGGTGCAACGAAATTTGCTGTATAACATGGAGTCATCAGTAAACCATTTTCAGCTCTAAGTTGTTTTGCAAACCCAAAGTCGCAAAGGCGTAACCCTTCAGGACTAGCACTTTCACAGGCATACAATAGATTGGATGGCTTCAAATCACGATGGACAACCTGTTAGAAATTGATAAGTTTTTTTAATAAGAAATAATTTCATCAATTTAATTATAATTAAAGTACAAATAAATATAAATACAAACCCCATGTTGATGAAGATAATTAACAGTAGAAATGACTGTTTGCATTATCGCAGAGGCTTCACGTTCTGAGAAAGCTTTAAGCCTAAGAATTCTGTCCAGTAATTCTCCCCCACGCATTAATTCCATAACTAAGTAAACATTGTTGTCATCTTCATAGACCTATAATGATAAATAATACATCTAAATATGAAATAATATTTTTTATCTAAATCTAAATAAAATTAAATAATCACATAAAATGAATACAAGTAGAATTTAATTGTTAAATCATATTTGCTTGTTTTAAAACATATAACTCAGTATTTCAATTAAATTAAAGATCACAATAGTAATGTTATGATTACTAAAATTAATTATTTAAAAGTTAAGGAAATAGAAAAAAGTTGTTTAATCCATTTTCAAAATAGTCGCCGAATTAAAATATGGAAATTAAGACAAGATAAACACTTACATCTCTTAAGTAGACAATGTTTTGATGCCCTCGATACCTCAGAAGTATGTCTACTTCTTCTTGACAATCTCGCTTAGATTTGTCAATAACCTATATTAAAAAAATAAATTATTTGTGGTTCTATAATCCCTGATACAAGGATTAACTAATAATAAAACCTATTTTCATCAATACATAAGAATAAAAATAACAAAACAAACTAGTCTTACCTTAACAGCCCATTCGGTCCTAGATGCTTTATGGAGGGCCAAACGACAAACTGAGTAACTTCCTCTGCCAATTTCTTCACGCAATTCGTAATCTTCACTTATAGGATTAGGTTTCGAGTATGGCATCTGGGAGTCAAAATAAACAAATATTCATTAATTAATTTATATGATCGGTCTACAAAAAATATTTAAAATCTTGATAATTCTTTTTTCCAGAAGGTTTTAATATTACATCTCCATACTTCAAATCTCTCTCTCTCTCTCTCTTTTTTTTTTTATTTCTTGCTGTTTCAGAATTACTGTTTAATTTCAAATATTCATCTTATTGTTTTAATATAGACTGTATCATATACCACTAATACATGTTATTTTAATTTTTTATTTTTAGTTCCTCTTTAAACATAAAACTATAAACGTTTTTTCCTAGATATTCTTTTTTTAAAAATTATTTTAATGTTTATTTTTTCATATCTTTCTATAGAATAATCAATAATCATTAAAAAAAATGTGAAATAACATGCAATATAGGGTATATTATAATAAGAAAAAGATGAAAAAGAAGAGAATGAACAATAAGTCAGAAATGTCACAAAAGGAAAAATAAAAAGATGTGAAGTATGAAGGCTATTAAAAGCTACGTCGAGAATATAAAATTTGAAATTAATTTTTTTATTTAAAAGTAAAAAAGTAATTTTTAAAACTTTTGTGATATTAACTGCTATTATTTTACTGCGAAGAAAAGTTCAATCAAAAATAAACACCAACTTTTAATTTTAAGAACATTGTAATCGGTTGTGTTTTTTAATCTGTTCACATTCACAATTCACAAAAACAATGCCAGACTTTAATTATAGAGAAGTCAAGTTTATAAATAGAATGTGTCATAATTTTATAAATTACATAATTATAATATTAATATTGAAATTTTATAGATTATATAATTAATGTAAATAATAAAAACTAAACAATGTAAGGTAAGATAATCACCCTAGTTAAAGGTTCCATCACTTTCACAGGCTGCTCCTCTGGCTCAAGTAGGCAGGGTGCAATGAAGCTGAAGCCACGGAAGAGTTCATGGGCATTGGCAGAAGGAGGGACTCCCGGGGAATCTGTAAAATTGCGTTGTATTTAAATTAAATAATTTCTACAACATAATATAAGGGAATTAGAAACATATTTGAACAAATGAGTAATTTACCTTTGGGAGATTTTGAAGTGAACTCTGAATCAAAATAGAATGCGTCGTCAGCTCTCTGAGCCGCAGGTTTGAACGGAGGCTGAATAGCTTTCTTAAGTAGTTTATCCCAGTCAATAGTGGCAAAAAATGAATGACTTTTAATTTCATTAACCCCATCAGGACCTGATAACATTTAGATAAAGAAAAACAATCTCTTTAATTATCAAGAAACATAATTTATAATATTAATACAATCTATAGTAAATAATAAAAATTAATTTACCGGCTCCTAATCTGTTGGCTGGATTTCTTTTGAATAGTACCCTGAGAAGAGACTGAGCTTCCTGCGACAAATGCTGCGGCATCCCAAGTTTAGCTTTCAGAATCTGAGTCATTGTCTCTTTTCTGTTGGCTCCTTGGAATGGCAGGGTGCCAGTCAGCATCTCAAACTGTATAATAAAATAAGTAAATATATCAATTGGCAATTTTATTACAAATTTATACATGTATTTGACTTTAATCAGTATAAAAGTTTGTAGTAAATGTGGATTCTCTTGTAAATGGTGTTAATTTAGTTTTAAAAATCAGAAATTTAATATAAGCTAATAAGTAAATTCTAGCTGAAGTATTGGCCTTAAACTAAATAAGAGATATATAATTTTTATATACTAAAGATTATATACCAACATACTAAAGCTTTCAATTACACATAGATAGTTTAAAATAATAACTTTGAAACACATCAGTAATATTTGTTATTTATTTATTATTTTAATATGCGTAATTCAGTAATATTAATCTTTATATTCCTGTACACCATTTTTATACTTAAGAGATTTGTCCTAGAATACAGTTCCTTATTCTAATATAAGACTTAAAATACAAATTATTCAATGTTATCTGTTAATGTGAGGAAAACGAAAGAAAAGTTTGTCAACTTTGTGGTGTCAAATGATTTTACCTACATCTCATCCTTTACAATAGGAGAGAGGGGGTAGGTAAATGTCCTTTACGTGAGTCATATAGTGAATATATTTTAGTCTGTAACAGTAAATAGAACAGAAAAAAACTTATGACTTGCTGTTCACAGTCCACTTAATAAATTGTAGTTTAACAAAATTTTTAACGAATTGCGAATAGGAATTGGAGTCATTTCTACCACTCCAATTAAATTAAATAATTTAATTTAGTTAAATAAATAAGTTTAGATAAAATAAAAACTTTTATTTGTTTTTATAATTGTAGGTTGTCCAAAAAATAGCCTTCATTCATTAGTTTTGTATAGTGTTTTATTAAACTGATTGAGAAAGACAAAACACTTACTATTCAACATCATTTCATCCTCAATCATTCCATCATTAATATTAATTATATTTTTTTTTTGTGGGTGGAAGGCATAAATTTATATCGCTTAGGGGCCTATTTGTATTGATCCACTGTTGGAAGTAATTTGTATTTTGTTAGTGAATTTTTTTTTTTCATTTACCAAGTTTTTAATGAATGAATATAAATAAAACTTTTTTTTGTTACTTTCCTATCTATTAATATATAACAGTTAAAAGAAAAAAAAAGATCAATTACCATAAGTACACCAAAAGACCACCAGTCTGCTGCAAATGAGTGACCCTTACGATTGACTACCTCTGGCGCCATGTACTCCACGGTGCCACAAAAAGAGTAAGCTTTTTGGTCATCGATTGGTTGCTTGCTGAGGCCGAAGTCTGTCAGTGATATGTGGCCTTCTTCGTCCAACAAGATGCTAATTTTAACAAATACATTTATATAAAAATTACTAAAAAAAAAAACTGAAATGTTTATGAAGTATCATAAATAAAAGAAGCATGCTATGAACAATTTTCTCCAAAATACATCAAGCAGTATTATAAAAAAATAATTAATAAAAGCAGTATTTCTGTAAGAATTGATAAAGATAAAGAAACAGAACAACATCTACCTTTGGAAATTTAACTAATTTTCTTCAAAATGGACCAATAAATATAACATTAATTAATAATTTAAGAATTATTTAACTTTTTGTCTGGAATCTGAGATTTGATTAAAAAAACATAAATCTTTATAATTCATAATATTGCTTCACTAATTTATATATGAGAAAGCTTCAAAATATGTCCTAAGTATTCCTCATCACGATTTTATTACAAACATCAAATTAACTGAAATGATTACTTTTCTGGTTTCAGATCTCTGTAAATGATTCCTAGGCTGTGAAGATGATTGAGGGCAAGTGCCAGTTCGGCAAGATAAAATTTGACATCTTCTTCTGTGAACATCAACTAAAAAAAGAAAAAAAAAAGTTAGTTAGTAATCATATTCTGAGAATAATTATTAACAGCTGGTACCGCTAATCTAATGGAAATTTTAAAATGATTAGATATGGAAAAAATTAGATGAATCTGATAGCCATCAATTAAAGGATTTTAATTGGATGTGTTCTAAGAATGTTCAATACCATCTATACCACAACTTATATTTTTTAAGAAATAAACAACCTGACAGTCCCATTGGAAACTGCGGTTTTGATGTTTTTTGGTTAATCTTGGCATCGCACATATTCAGAAATACATATGAAAAACATAACTTCAAACTTAACATCTTTGTCATACAAATTACATACAGTAAAAATTGAATAGAAAATCCAGTTCATACAATAAAAAATATGCAATTTATTTTGTCTTATGAATAATTTTGGTTTTTACTCTGTAGGCCTCTGCAACATAGCTGACGAATGAATTTTAGCAAAAAATAAAAAATATTTTTCAAAATCAATTATTCACTAATTTGTTTGTATAAATTTGTTTTTTTACAAAGTGGAATATGTTATCTAATATCATATTTAGTTTGATTTTTAATTTACCTAATCTATTTTTGTAAACTAGAGACAGCATTCGTTTGCCTTTACTTTAGGGAGTATTTGAATAGTATTAGCATATGCCCAAGTAAATTAGTTAAACTTTTATTTTGTCTAAATAGATATAACATTCAATCTTAAAGGTTTGTTTTGTTCTTATTTTTGATAGTTAAAAAACAAAAAAAACAACTTTTTCTAAATAAATTGGTTTTGGGTTTTAAAGCATTTAAATAATAGTTATCAAATTTTTATTGAAAATTTTTATAAGTATAGAGAGTGTTTTAATAATCCAGTTATACAAAAAGAGATAAAATGATACAGTATTGAAATAATCTTACGCTTGGCCAGAAACCAATACCAGATCAATAAGTTTTGATAAAGCTCAATATTGGTTTTGTTTCTTCTTAACATTGCTTATTCTGGATTTACGGCAGATATGTGAAGAATATTTTAATTTTTTAAATGACTAATTCCGTTTTTTAATGAACTAATTCATGGTTTTTAATAGTGACGTACTCCTCACCTCTTTATTGAGCCTAGAGAAGAGATCACCACCCCGAAGGAAATCGAGAATGAGGTAGAGTTTGCCTTCAGTTTGAAAGGCATAATGGAGACGGACAATAAATGGATGGCGAACATCTACTAATATATTACGTTCCATTTTTGTCCTCATCCTATCACGCACTGTAATCAAAGGAAGACATAATTAATAAAATGTAATTAAAACATCTATGGCAAATATTTTTATATGAAAGAATTTACTGATTTAAAATACAGAGAAATTTTTCATCTTTAAAAGAATATAAACATATAAATGAATTTTTTCACCTTAAAAGTTGTTTTACAGCTACAACATTAAGAGGATTATAAATCTGACAATAATTCATTAATTATTAATGAATTACCTTTTAATGTTGCTTTTTTGAGAACTTTCATAGCATATAGAGTGCCACTATCTGCTCCGACCACCTTCCGAACAAGGAAAACCTACACAAAAAAAAAAAAATTGCAATTATTTTTTTTATAATTCTATTTTTAAAACTATTTTCTTAATTTAATTTTTAAATCTATATCTATATTAACAGTCATGGTCAGTAAGTGCAATGATACACAATATGAGCATGAAAAGCAAAGCAGAGTGATCCATTAAAGATTCCTTTGAACTTTTTTTCAGTTTCCATTGAATGGTGAAGTTGAAAAAAAAAAAAAAATTAAACAGTATTATTTCATTACTGGTGAGGATTTTACAGAGTGAAAATGTCATGATTATTGTTTTTGAATGCTACATTCATAATGATAATATTCATACTAATATAATCTTGATTACTTGTAATTTTTGAAAAATATTTTCGAAATTCAGAAATATAAATAAATACGTATAGATACATAAAAAAAAAAAAATTTAAATAAAACATATTTTTAAGTCATCATTCATACAAATTTATTTAGTAGAATACCTGGAATACCTTTATTTAGTAGAATAACTGGATTATTAAAACACTCTCTATACTTATAAAAATTTTCAATAAAAATTTGATAACTATTATTTAAATGCTTTAAAACCCAAAACCAATTTATTTAGAAAAATTTTGTTTTTTGTTTTTTTAACTATCAAAAATTTGTATTTCTGATTAAATACTGTAGTAGTTAATTGAATAAAATCACACAATTTTAACTGTAATAAAAATTAAACAAAGCAATAATTTTCACTAAAGTAAGCAATATGTGTAACTGCTAGTAAAAAAACAAAAACAGAAAATATTGAAACTACAACTTTTAAAATTCAAATTGAATTTAAATCCTTTGACGAATTAAAAAAAAAAAGAAATAATAAAATGTAGTAAGTCCCTCACTTAATTTCTTGGGAGAAATTTCTGCTGGGGATATTTTCTTTATGAAAAATGGGCAGAATCGACCTTGTTATACTAATAGCTCTTTTAATGAAGAAGTGAGGGCTACATATAGAGGAGTTAATTTGGAGGGATATTCCAAGACACATCACCACAGTCAATCAAACATATTTTGAATAACAGATTTATTCTTATATTTAAGTTTCTAATAAATTAATCCTTAATTTTCCAATTAAATTACCAGTAAACTCGGTTTTAAAAACTTTTATTTGTTTATTTATTTAACTTAGATTATTATATATATATTTATTTAAAGCTGCAACAATGAACAACTATTTGTAAGTGTGATGCGTCGCATTTGTGAATTTAATTTTTTTTTTTAAATGAAAATTAATAAACAAGTATATGATAAAAAACAAAACGTCTAACGTTGGGCACAAATGAAACTTACGATAGATTTTCAATTTCTACGGCTTAAATAATAGAAAAAATCCCATCAACAGTCAGAGAGCCTATTTCACTCCTCCCACGAAGAAGCAGTTAAGAAGATTATCCGACGACAGGAAGCTCATTCAGTTGTATGCATCCAGGAAGGCTGGAGCACAATGGAATATTCCAGGTATAGAGGCTGGAGCCGCAGTCAGTGATACAAGAGGTCTTTGTGGCTGGAAATAATGAAGTATTCTTCGCCCGGCCACCGGAGGGAATCGAATGCAAGAGCCATGTCAACAGCCTTCACAGGTCAATGTAGGAAGAAGTGCTTGCCCCACCGATCCATGGGCAAGTCATGATCCATTGGACTTACTGTAAGGTGAGGAGTGCGAACATTTTTTTAAATTATCTGTTAGACATTGAGGAGGGTCAAATGATTCATTTGATCGATTAGGAGATATATTAATAATACAAAGACAGTTTGAAAATGGTGCCTTAACACAAATAATAAAAAAATGAAAAGGATATGTTTACCTTTCCAAAGGAGCCTTGGCCAAGAACCTTGAGGAGTTCGAACTGAGAAGGATCTGCCCGCTCATGTCCTTCTTTCACCACTTCTTTCAGTTCGTACTCTTGCTCTAAGCTCCCACCGCGCTCCTCCTGCACAGCAAAAAAATAAAATAAAAATTAATCATACAATTATCAAAGAAACTTAAATATTTTTATTATCTAAGACAAGAATATATACTTAAGTATTTGTTTGAACTGAGGTATATATATTAGATATTCGAAGTGGTTTTGTAATGAGAAATAGAAAAAATAAAGTAGTAACGATAATTAATGACTATCATTATAATAGTACTTAAAAATTGAGAGGAGCAAAGAAAGAAAACAAAGACAGGCGTAGATTCAGACGAAATATGTAGAACCTTTAAAAAAGGAAGATAAGGAAAGTTTCGTAAATGAAAAAATTAACATAAAAAATATGCACTGCATATGGAATTATATGCATATAATAATATACATAATAATGATGTAAATCGAAAAAAATACTATAAAGCTCAGATCTAGATCCGTAGGATGAACAACCATATTTCGCGTTAGCGCTGTATCGATGGTTTATCTCTAAAATCTTGGTAATTTGTTTTCTTGTTGTTTATTGAATAATCTCGTATATTATTAAAAACATAACAGCACACATTACAAAACTTTAGAATTTTAGTGAATTGAAACTAATTTGAAACTAACTAATAAAATTCATAGGCTGGCCTTTACTTTTCAGAACCAATGTGATAAAAAAAATGTTGACTTAAGTCCAATTTATTAACTTAATGCTTATAAACTTTTTTCTTTTGTTAAGATAAATTATAAATGTATTAAAATGGACTACGAACATGGAACTGCTTGAATTATAAATATAAATTTTTAAGTAATTGTATCCAAAACACGATTGCGTACTGAAAAATAACGAACGCTATTAAAAAAGCGGGACAACTTGACACTGTTATAAAAAAAATGTAAATTTTTATGACTATATAAAAAATCATGAAAAGAATAATAGTAAAGTATTTGTGGCAAAAAATAGAAAAAATTGTCTAAGAAGTACTCTTAAAGAAGTAAAGAAGACATTGAAGATTAGAAATAAAACCTTTTCCGCAGAGATTAAGATTAAGAGATTAAGAAGTCAAAAGAAGATTCTGCGCGTATCAAATAATAAAAATTGTAATCACCGTACAGGTGACATATATTTGAGCAGCTTTAACCGAACGCTGATGAATATTTGATAGCATGGATAAGCAGGATATCTCAGCGTAATCCGTCGTCGAAATAATGGAAGAAACATTACGTCTGGGTCTAAACTTCAGCCGAAGGTCCTCCAACCACTGGCCTTCTAGGAAATTTATGGAAAATAAACACTAACTAATAAGAGAATAAATAATTATTTAAGATGCCTTAAAATAATAATAACAATAATCAGTATTAAATGTTGATTAAAATTAAGTGTTGTACTTAAACTTTTACACTTGGTTGGTATTTGATATAAAAGTGTACGTAGGTTTCACCCGGGTCTGAGAGAGGTATATACATATATAATTAAAAAAAAGATGAAACAATCAATAATTCCTGGATCCACTACTGTTAGTAAAATAGATACTGAAGATATGAAATAATATAATATATTCTTACATAATATATAGGAGAGAAAAATCCTCCGCACGATAACCGGGACGGTCTGAGATCAAAGTACGAACGCGTGGAGGACTAATAAAGAACTGCTTAGAGAAAACGGTAAATCAATATTTTATGTATATTTAAGTTAAGGAGGTTAAGATGGGTGGGGCATTGCAACAGGAAGCTTCAATAGGAGGTAAGAGAAAGCCAAGAACCAAATGGATACATCGAATTAACAAAAGATGCAATAGAGATGAAAGCAGATAATTGGTTAAATAGACAGAGATAGAGAACGCTGGTTAAGGAGTCAAAAGATTTACGAAGTTTATAATTCCAACAGAAAAAAAAATTGGGTTTTTTAAAACTTATTCTTAAATCACTTTTGAAAATATATTTAAAATTTATTCAACTTTTTGTGGATCCCATCCCAAAACTAGGCATTTTATATAATATTTATAAATACAATATAAAATGCCTATAGTATTTGCAAATATTACAAATACTATATATAGTATATCAAGAAAAAAAAATGCATTGGGAAAAGCGAAAGCGGATGGATTCATTACGGAACAGTTTATAATGACGCAGTCGCTTTTCAACTCCTCTTGTTAGAACGAGAAGCTTCAGAAATGGATTATTGAAAGAGCTCTTTGAGAAGTGAATTAAGAAGTTAGCACCCACGCAGATTACGTCAGAGTCCGCTAAAACGTTATTTGTGCTACGGCACAATAGATGAGATACTATTAAAATAGTTAGTAGCTAACGAGAAAGCAGAGGTATTTTAGAAATTTTTAAAATAGAATATTATACGTTTATTTTTTTATACGAATACAATGCTTCAGGATGTCCAAGCTATTTTCAATGTATATTCAAAGCATGGTAAATTCTTCCGCATTTTTAATTTATTCTCATTGTCTCTCCGTTGTAATAATTTACAAAAGAATTGCTGGTATAACTGTTTAATAAAACACACACACACACACACACACACACACACACACATATATATATATATATATATATATATATATATATATATATATATATATATATATATATATATATATATATAAAAATTTACAACTTTTTCTTAATCGACCTTTGAGTAATTTAAACTTAACTATTTAATTGGGAATAAGGTCATTTAATTATTATTTAATAAATAGTAATTGAGTAGCTTAATATATGTGCTAGTGGACGGTGCTGAGACTGTCGGTGTGTCCCTGGCCTGATCGAAGCTCTATTTTTTAAAATTCTAGCTTTGAAGAGGATCCCATGTTTGACTAATAAAAAGAAAATACCGGGATCGAAACGTCAATAAACAGAAGAAATGAACATTCAATAGTTTATTAAATAATAATTAAATGATCTTATTCCCAATTTAATAGTTAAGTTTAAATTTACATATATATATATATATATATATATATATATATATATATATATATATATAGTTTTACATTTTAATCGTTTGCCCTCAGGCAGTGGAAGGAATTTGTTACATGTATATATTGTATTATTGTATACTATATATGTAAATTGTTTCAATAAATATTTTGGAGGGTAAGAAAAAAAAAAAAAAAATTTTAAGCGCATAGGTAATGTAATATGGTATTAATATAGAGAAAAAACTAAATATATTATTAGAAACATGGTAAAAAAATATATATATTTAAAAAAATTATTGATCTCCACGAAGATATAAATAAATCTTGTTGATTATAAATGTAAAATAAGAGAGAGGGGTAAGCTATAAAAAAAAAAATAAATGAATAAAAAATTCAATAACCTTTTCCTCAATTTCTATTAAGTTTAAACGAACATTTTATTTTACTCTTATCATAACTGAAAGGAAGGCGACGGCATAAGAAAAAATTCAATTTTTATTTATTTAAATTTTCAATTCGAAAGATTAAATTGACTCGAATCGATAATTAAGTAGATTTTCTACAAACATGCCCCTTCAGTAAATATATTTAATCCTGCTGTATGCGCAAGCGCTTTTGCCATGAAAACTTGAAGTTACTTGAAGTGCAGATGATATTACTGATGCAAAGTTGAACTTCGCGTACAAGTGGTAAATCAACTTGTTATTAAACCATACAACTCACATTAAGTTTATGTTACAAGATTACTTATGCAAATCAAATGATAATAAAAATTAACCCGTTAAAATTACAATTAACGAAATTTTACTACCAATAAAATTGACATAACCTGCACCATTACGTAAAATGTGACATAAAAGAAAAGGTATTCTTAAATTACTAGTATTTTTTATTTCAAATTATTATTAATATTTCTTATCTATAACTTTGTACATCATTTTTAAAGAGATTAGTAAATATTGCTGTTTCACTATTTATTAGTTTTTATTAGTCCTACAATAATATTGATTTATAAAAAAAAACAACCATAAAATTATTTTGTTTCAAGTCTAGATCATTATTTGATCCATCAAGAAAATCTATTTCACAGAATAAAATAAAATTATACACCACTATGAAATCATGATTTATTCAAATTTTAATACATCATAAATGTAGTATATAGTATATGCTTTTGATGTATGAATGTTATAGTGTTTTGTTTCGAGATAGTATAGCGTTAACACTTCTAATATAATATATAATTTTAATTATTTTTATATTAAATATATAAGGAGTCAATGTTAGAGAATCGTGTTACGTTACCAACAATTTTAACAAATACAAAAATACGATCTAGGTCAAAACCGATGAAAGCGAATGTGAACTATGTCATAATGTCAATAGTTTGGCCGATTTTTTGACCGTTTTTCAATTTTTAATCAAATTTGTATATTTTATTTGGTGACTAGTACAATAATATAGTCCGTGGTACAGAGCCCTTTTTATCAAGTTATTAACATCCGGCTGAAATTTCGTGAATAGCTTCATCTCATCGTAACCTACAAATATTTTATTTACGAAAATTCTCGGAATTGGGCCGTTTTCAATCTGGAGATCGGCAAACTTTGTCTATTTAATTAGGTAACTAAAAACTCGTAAATACCCATTTGCTTTCCACTTGGATCGTAAGATAATATGATCACAAAAGCGATAAAGAAATGTGGCCTACAAAAATATTAGTCTGTTTGACCTATATAACCTCGTTCTTTTGACAATTTTGGTGTGTAGGTCACGCCAAACGGTTCAATATTTTTGAAGGCTACCTTTTTACTCTACTTAGTGCTCCAGTTATCTCACGATTAAGGTGGAAAGCATATGGGTATTTACGAGTTTTTCGTACCTAATTAAATATACCAAGTTTGCCGACCTAAAAATTGAAAACGCCCCAGTTCCGAGAATTTTCGTAAACAAAATATTTGTTAAGTTACGGTGAGATGAAGCTATTTATGAAGTCTCAGCCTTAATTTTATAAAAAGGGCTCTATATCAAGAACTAATAAGTAAGCGATTTAAAGATGTTTAAATTAATAGGAAAATAAAATATTTTTTTAGTTCTGTC